GCCAGCCAGGCCGAGGAGGCTGCTCTTGCCAATGCACGGCCTGCCTCCTGACTGTCTGAAGGGCCAGCCAGGCCGAGGAGGCTGCTCTTGCCAATGCCAAAGTGTGCCAGGGGCTGGCGCTGCAGCATCTGCTGAGGCTGGCGTGGATACAGGCTAAGAATAGCCTGTTCCCGAAACCCTGGTTTGGTGCCTGAGTTCACAGGGACTGTAGGCCCCTGTTTTCAGGCTGAATTCTAGGCTTTTTGGCTGAAGGGCGCAGGGCCTGGAAAATGGCCTGCGTGTGCAGGCGCATCATGTAACAATGGGGATGACAGACGTCCGTCGGAGTGACTCCCTTGCTCAGCGGGTGGTGGGAACCAACAGTCTGCCGGATTCACTTGTGATATAAGTAGGTGATGTGCCACTATACTCCAAGTTGGATGAGTAGACTGCCTCATCTGCACTCCGCCACTGCCTTGCTGCCCGTCCGACTTGCTTCACATGTTGTACTTTGCAAGCTGCTGTGTTCATCATGTGGAGTGGCTGTGTTGTTGATGTTGCCGTGTGCTTTGCTGCTCGGCTGCCTCGCCGTCCATCCGCATGCCTTCCCTTCTGCATCCTTGTTGTTGCCTTGTGCTTCACTGCACTGTTGCCGTGCTGCACGTCCGCTTGCCCTGCCTGCCGTCCATCGAGTTGTAACGACCCACCAAAACACAGACTGAGAACACTGCTGATTCCTGGGATTTGCCACTGGAATGTATGCCTTGCTGAGATTCCCGCATTCTGCTGCGTTTTCTAAGTCTGTGTGTGCATGCCTGCTGGTATGCGTGCCTGTCTGAGTGCTTGCGGGCCTGAGTGTGTGTGACCTGCAAGGGTACTTGTTCGTTTGGCCCTGCAGGGACGGTACTTACATGTGGCCATGACTTTGAGGATTGCAGCGGGAAAAACAAAGTAGTGGGGGTGGGCCTGCAAAGCAGCGGGAAAAACAGTCGAGTACTCGAGGCCGAGCAGAAGAAGACAAAAAGTTGGCATTTTTAGAAGCCCGGTAGCAGTAGGCTAGAGGTGGGCCGGTACCAGTCCAAGTAGCCTGAGTCTAGGGCCTGTACGGACGATATCAGAACCTGCGATGATGTTTCCCTCCAAAAGGGAGGAGGTACCGGTTGCTGGGAGGCCGCGTGGCCCAGGAAGTCACACAAGTAGGCCGCTATACTTGGAGGAAGGGAGGTGCTCGGCGCTCAGCCTGGGTATGGCGAGCAGCCCAGCCTAAGGAGGAAGAAGACGGGGGCGAAGGAGAAGCTATGGCTATGGTGGGCCTGTTGTTGTGCTGGCAGTAAGAGGGAACTTTAGATATTGATTCTGGTTCATCCACTCATTGATATTATTAATATTTGGAAGAAGAATAAGATTGGCGACGATGAGGAGGAAGGTGGAGAAAAGGGGGATTTGTCATTGGTCTTGCTGGTGCACATCTTCTTCTTCTTTTTTCTCTCTTCTTCTTTGGTCTCTATCTCGTTGCAAGTGCTTTCATCTCTTTCGCAATTGGGTGACATTGTCTTTCCTTGTGAATTTGCACTTTGGAAATGACCGGGATCGTAATACAGTTGTTTTTCAGTGTTGTGCGGTTGCGTTGCCTCGACAGCATTGCCCGGTGCTTCGCTGAGTTGCTGCCCGCTGCTGTGTTCCATTGTGGACAGCCAGCTTCCAACAAGGGTCAAAGGGTTCATGACCCAAATCATCAATACAGGGATTCTCCAGATTGTGGAGCGTACCGCCGAGCTGTTTGGGATCCTCAGAGACTTTTCGCAACGCATCTCACTTGTTTCATTAACGAGACCGAAAGAAAGAAAGAAAGAAAGAAAGAAAGAAAGCGGCAAGCCACTCACTTTGCGTCTACTTTCAATTCTAATTTGCTGAGTTGATTGATGCTGAGGCTTTCTTTTACGTATGTATTGTATGGTCGGTCTTGTGAAGTTCAAACTCTTACAGTGGGTAGAACGCAAAGTAAGATGAGCGATTGATTACATAATGAAGTAAAGAAAACTTATGCTCCCCACGGAACAATCTCTCATCATAAGTGTTTATTTTTTTCCGTCTTCTGGAACTTGTATTCCTCCCTCCCTTCCCCCCCCCCCCCCCCTCTCCTTGTTTGCCTCTTTTGTGTGCTCGTGTTTTGTCTGCCCTCCTGCTCCCCTCTTTGCCTTCCATCCTCTCTTCTTTGCTGCTGCCTATCTTCCTGTTTCTTGTCGTCTCATGCCCGCCGGCCTTCCCCTTGCCCTCCAGCCTTTGTCCTTTGTTGCCGCACGTCTTCACACGCCTTGTTGCCTCATGCCCTTTCCTTCACTGTCTTTTGTCCAGTGTTCATCTGTCTGCCCACCCACCTCCCCCATGCCCTCCAGTCTATGTGCCGTGCCGCTGCCTGTTGCCCAATCCCTAGTCCCCTCCTTGCCTAGCCTTCACTGTCTTTTGCCTTATTGCCATGAACAATTGATTCCTGAGTTATTTCTCTTCCGTGTTGTCCTCCGTGTTCCATATCTATCTGTCTTTCTTTCAGTAAGTATATCTAGAGTACTCAGTTTGGGATGACTTGCACTTGGCGGGCAACACGGTAGTCTATATTTCGTTGCATGCCCTGGGGAGCAGCAGTGCACACACACACACACGTGCAAGCAAGTGCACGCCGGAAGAAAAATAGAGAGAAAGGTGATAGCCGCAGTACTGTATACACAGTTGAGAAATCTCCGTGTTCACAACACAAACAGCGCCACACACACACACACACACACACACACACACACACAAGGGTGCACACATGCACACATGTGTGCACAGAAAGGAGATAGTGTCAGTAATGCACGCACAGTTGAGGAATCTTTGGTATATACAATGATTTCCACGACTTCATTCAAGTTCACTGATAAAAAAGCAGCAAATACTATGTAGCACATACTGATCTGTAGTGCATAATAGATAAGCAGCCACTGGACAAAGAAAACAAATCGAAAAGGCATCTTCAAATCACCTGGCGCCCGGTGTGCACTCGATAAGCAGGAGAAATGCCCTTTCTTATCCAAAACTGCCACCCTCTCAGTGTCAATCATTACACAACTTGCAGTCAAGCGTTGTACAGGGTCAGAGTACAGGAGCTCAAACTCCCGCGATTCCTGTTGCAGCAAACAGAGGCAAAGGCGCAAAGAGAAAAAAAAGAAAGCTACTTGTATCAGAGAAGGGAAGCTCCGATGCATCTCCCCTGGATAATAAGACAAGTCAGCAACGGGCATGTATCCTGAGGGTTAGGAGGAACAACAACATACAGCATGACTACCACATCGTCACACGAACGGAACGCCCGATCACTACTATACCCGTATTTGTGGCAACTTCCCGGCAAGATGCAGCCACAATGACTGGGCGTTCTATTCGCTTGAAGATGGTAGGAAGATAGTAGGAGCACCAGAGGGAGCATGGGGTTATATAGGGAGGATGGGGAAGGCGGAGGATGAAAAGCAATGTAAAAAAAGAAAAGATGTAATCATTTGTAATGACCCCCAAAATGGAGGTAGGTGTCAATGCATCTGCTCGGCAGCCAGTATGGTGAACTAGCCAGTACCTATGGAATTGTTTCAAAATTTTTATTTTCACTTTCACGCCCCTCACATCACGAAGGTGAATCACCATAGCAGTTGTCGTGCCATGGGTGAGACCAAAATTTTGAACATCCCTCCTCCATCCCCCCCTCCCCTCCGCCCTGGCGCCCCCCAGCAGTAACTTAGATTGCTTTGCTGCTCTTCATGCGTTGAAGCAAGCATTACCCTACCGTCTTCACCCAAATAGAACAGCCCGTTAGTATAGCTGCATTTGGGGCAACTTTCAGTCCAGATGCAGCGATAATGACCGGGTGTTCTATTCGGGTGAAGACACTAGGTGTTCGAAGAGAGGGGCTGACCTCGGATCAGATTCATTCACAATCATTGCTCTGGGCACACAAGCCTAAGTTGACAAGAGCCTTGGAGAGAAGCTTTGTGAACTTAGGCTCGGGTGAACTGGTGGTTTACGGGCAGCAGGGTGGGGACCACAACTCCCCCCAGGATCAGACTCGTTCAGAATCATTCTTCTGGGCGCAAATCCAGTCCATATGTGTCCAGACCGTGTGAACTCGTGGTTTACGGGCTGCAGGGTAGGGACCACAACTCCCCCCAGGATCAGACTCATTCAGAATCATTCTTCTGGGCGCAAATCCAGTCCGTATGTGTCCAGACCGCTACAGGACAGACAACTGCCGGCGAGTGGAAGAACTTTGAAAGGGGGCGGCGGTATTCCAGTGCCCTTACCTCTCTGAAGGCAAAGTATGAGATTCCATCTCTGCAGTCGCCAACTGCTATGTGCGTCAAGTGCGTCGAAATGGAGACGATTGTGAATCGCGTGCTTGTTACCGCAAGCCACTTCGGACGCTGGTGCCAGTCGTCTTTGAATTGCACGCAAAACAACTGTCACAGAAATGGTTGATACAAAACAATAAAAAACACCACAAGAAAAACAGTCACTTGTTACAGACATTTGCAATGAACAAGAAGTCGTGAGAAAGAAAAAAATTAACAGATGAGTGAGCTGAGGGCTGAAATGCCAGTTCAAACTTGAAATCCTTTTGGCCACTTCCATCATATTAAACCTCTAGTTCACCGGAAGCAGAGTACTGCTCTTGCCGGATTACACGGTAAGAGCGTCAGGCCACTTTGGAAAAGCCACAGTTGCAGGCTCGCGAGCCTTGGAAGGTATAGCTTTGTCAACTTAGGCTCGTGTTGAACTGGCGGTTTAAGGGCTAGGGGGGTGGAGACCACAACACCATCAAGAGTCCCTGGCCCTTGGCACAGCAGTGTGCATAATCAAAGTGCTATGAACCCTTGAACGCTCTTTAAACCACCACTAACTTTCCCAGGCAAAGTCGAGAATCGCATGCAAAGTCCCAAAGACATCGGATGAACAGTGCTGCCGTACCAAAATGGTTGGCGGCACCTGCCAAAAGGGGGGAAAAAAAGAATGTTGCCGTGGCTGTTCGTTTTTTTTGGCACTCAGGCAATCCACCTCAGCAAAAAGAGGGTCCAAGGAAGCGGTGGTTTAAATACATGGATACTAAAAAACAAACTCGCGCAGAATTCAGGCAATCAAAGAAATTGACGAGCAGAACTCACATAATTGACTAAAATTCTCTTCTTTTCTTTCGGAAAAAGGCGGTAGCCCTGAAAATCATTGACATCCAGCTGATCCCATCAGGATTCAAACTCATGATCTGTTTACTAAGACAGCTGCATGGTGTACCATTCAGTCGTTTGGGCTGGGCATCACGGTTCAGTATTCGGTGAGATGATCTGCTGCAGCTTTGTTCGCAAGCAAACAGAAGTAATGGTGCGATTGTGGAGGCAGGGAGAGATGGCAGGGAGATGGGGAGGCACCGGGTGAGCGATAGGGAAGGGATGGGGGAGGGCAAGGCAGGGAAGGATACCACGGAGATAGGGATGTGATAGGGAACAGATGGGGGACTCGGAGGGAGGAGGGAACGGAGGAGGGAAGTGGCAGCGGAGGTGGGAGAGAGGTGGGGGTAGCTGGGGGGAGGTGAGCAAACTGAGGGTAAGCAGGAGTGGAAGGAGGAGGTGGAGATGCGAAGAAAATAAGGAGTGCGATGGGGGGGAGTTGGAGAGAGACTGTGGGAAGGTTCCCATCCCAAGCCCTCAAAGAAAAAAGGCATAAGGGCGAGGTGGGGAGGTGATAACCAGATGGGGAGATTTGGCAGCAAGCCGCAATAGGAGAGATGGACAGCAAAGGCGTGAAGGCAGAAGGCTTACAAACAAAAAGGCTCACACTGGGAAAATGGACAGCAAAGGCTTTTCGTGCTCATTGTGGATCCGTACTTTTCCTGCTCAACATTCGTGCTCTCTCTCTCTCTCTCTCTCTCTCTCTCTCTCTCTCTCTCTCTCACACACACACACACACACACACACA